AAAAAAGAGGAAAAAAGAAAAAAAAAACGAACAGATAGGCTGAAAGAGAAAGGAAAAAAAAGAAAACAGAAAGAGGAAAAAAACCAAACAACAACCAAAAAAAGTCTGTTAGTAAATCAAGGTCTGTTTGTTGACCTTTAGGAGCGGTTTCTGGATGAGTCTAATGGGGTGCCATGTCCCTTTCAAGTGAACGGAGTACCTTTTAGTCTTTAAACCAAGTGGATCTTCACTATGCATTGTCTTCCATATTCTAAAATGACCAAGCCAAATAAACAGCAAGTCTTTGTTTAATAAAACGGGATTTACAACGGGATATACTATGAGCATATTGGAAAGAGCACAAAGCAGGAACCTTCTGTTAATAACATTCAGATATAATAACATTATAGACAGATGTCGTTGATTATCTCTCTCATGGTGAGTTTCAGATTCTCTTCTTTGCTAACTCAAGAGCTGTAACCCATGGACTTCCTTTATTTTCGACACCATTTTATGCCTTACCAGGTTCAGTTAAAGTAATCATCAAAGTCAAAACAAAATAGAAGTGCTTTCTGCCCAAAGGAGAGTTCTTAGCCTGTTTAAAAATGTGCAGAGTTTAAGCTTTAATTACAGAAACTTCCCACCTCTCCCCACCATTGTGTCTATTGGCCCTGTTCCATCCACTGCTGGAACTTCTAATGTGAGCTCTCTGAACAGCCTGGCACTGACCAGTTACGGGGAGTGGCTGGTTTCTCATCAGCTACCTCTTTCTTCAGAATGTTGCCTGCATTTTCCTTTGCCTTCTTGTGTGCCTGCTTCTCACTCAATAATCACTGCAGCTTGAAGCAGAGGGGGAGTGAATCTTCTCTGAATTTTTGAGGAGAAGTTTACTTTGTAAGTTGAGCTTAAGTTAGAATACATTTTGTGTGTTACAGTCAAACATTTCCTTAACTACCCTTGTCTGGTGTTTTGCTGTCATAATTTGAAGAACACTTTCATCTGATTTCGCAGAGTATTCACTCCCTCTCATATCGTCTTGGGATGTAAAGGCATAAAAGTGACCCATTGAAGTATCCCATTTGAGTACCAGATTTCATTAACCAAAGAAGGAATTGGACTGCAACCAGGGAAATTATTTATTAACAAAGTTTTATTGATAAAATAATTTACCAAAGACTTATGGAAAAAATTAAAAACCATTCAGAAAGAAAAATTATATCAACCAAGATAGCAAAGGGTCAATGTCTGTGTTTCCTATGTTGGGCTGGCTATGTAAGTGACATCAGTTATACTGAGGATTCTATAGCTTTAGCAAAAACTAAGATGCAGTATTACAATTTACAAAAAAAGTTCCTACAAGATAAACATAGTGATGTCTATAGGTAACTCCATTTACTGCCCAGTCATTCCCCCTGATACCTGTTCCAACCTCATAGTCCGCTTTCTGACTTGGATGTGTATATTCTTCTTTCTCAGCAATCATGACCTGGGATCATCGTGTTTCATATGCTTGGTCTGTCATGTTAGCAACAGCTTTTCTTCCTGGCTTGGGTCTGTTCATTGCTGGATCCTTTGGCTCAGTGCCTTTGACCTTGGGTGGCTGATACTCTGAGACTCTCTGGCTCCCTTCCCACAGCAAGTGGTGAGTGTAAACTATAATGTAAGATCCCGGCTTTCCTCCACTGAACTTTAAGTATTAAAATGAATTTTTAATATTATGTCTTTAAGAAAATATTTAGGAAATTTTCAGTGGACTCATTTTTGACCTAGAGTAAGGAGGAGATCCTGAATGCCCATTCTACTTAAATATATTTCAGAAACTGCTATATGGAACACCTTGGCATTTCTCCTGTAATCCCCTTTCCTTACTCTAGGAAATAGAGGAATGGATTATAGTTGGAAATGTCTATATCACTCTCACGACCTTAATCCAGAGCTTCTAGGGTACCAGTTTGATCTGATGTGTTGGTATATCATCACCGTTCTTTTATTTACTTTTGTGGAGAATTTATGCAATTCCTGGATGTCTGAAGGGACTTCCACAAGTTCATGGAAAGAGTCTACTATTTTTTCATCCCCCCTCATATGTCATTAGTTTTGGAAGAAACCCCCCACCAAACACACAAACAAACACACATGCCACTGAGTAGATTTCAACTTAGGAACATCGACCTTGTAGTTATCTGTCCAGTGCTTTGCTCTGTGTGTTTTCAGGGATCCTTTTAGTTTGGGAAGAGCTTCTGAATTCTTGGTAGAAAGAGCTCCCTTTGTTCAAAGGATTTCTAGGTTCCTGTAGCTCTATAGGCCCTCTATGCTGTATGCCAGGAGTGAAGTAGTTAAGGTCTCAATCTGGGATGAATTGGCTTCCCCAGGGAGACTAAACTCAAATTAGATCAGCCATGGAGAATCTGTCTTGAATCATTAGAAGTAAAAATTCAGGCTAGGGCCTGGCTATCTGGGTGGGATTCCTTATTGTTGTGTGCATGTGTGTCTGGGTGTGTTTGTACATGATGTGTGATAGATATGGAGAAGCATAAGCAAGGAACACATTATATTGAATGTCTGTGGTACAGTCAGGGAGTAGAGAAGTCAGGATCACAGGAAGAACTAGATTGGTGTGAAGGATAAACTGTGAGGAGATGTATCACCATGTCCTGCCTGTAAATGAGTGTCTGAGTGCTTCTTTTACCAGTCCAGTTATAATAAACCACTCAGGGATGGCCTGTGGTTTTCTTTAAGTGGGTCAGTATCTCCTTTCACCAAACCTTCTTACTATATTTGAGAAGGCTTACTGTCTATTATCATTGCTGGTGATTCCCCTGGAAACTAGAGCTCAAGTGATTACAAACATCTCTGCTGTTGATTATTTCTCTAGGGTGAAGAATAGGCTTTTTACAATGGCCCATGGAGACATTCTTTTCCCGATGAGGTCATGTCTATTGTGTCCTAATGGCAAAATGTGCACATGGCATGCTAATGGTAAAGGGCATTACATATCAGCCAGGCCCCAGTTTGGTCCACTGTTTTATATCCTTGTTATGCTCTGAAGCATCAGCATTCCTATATTGAAACTGGACTACCAGGAAGGCATGAACTTTATGTTCTTTATCCCATTCTTCAGTGCGGAAGGACAGAGAACAGCCTTCTGGTAAATGATAGCATTGTATATGGCAGAGAGAAGGAAGGGCTGATGGAACACTGGGTGATTAAGAGCTGACAACATTTACAAAGTTTTGTCACATACATTTTCACTTGATTCTCACAACAAGCCTGCGAGGTAGGTACAGTAAATGGTGCTTCTATTTTTATTTCTCAAAGAAAGACACTGATGACCCAAATGTTGACGTGATATACCCCGTCATAGTAAGTGCTAGAACCCAAATTGGAAGTGGGATCTTCCAGCGTCACAACCAGACTTCAACTGAAGGTTAGGATGACATAATTGAGAAGCTGCCCAGTAAGTAGGCATCTAATATTTCGGCAATCAGCAACCACTGTGTTACTGCTGGCAGGACTTCTCAGAGAAATCGATGTTCATTGGTTTGAAATTTATGGGTTGCGTTGGCGTGTTAGAAGGTCAGATGTGAGCTAGCTGGGGCCACTGGGGGTTCCTGGGTGGTCAAGAACAGAGATGGAAGGGTTTTCCTGGCCCTCACTGCACCGCTCTGGCCCTCTGCAGGCGTTTTACTTGTTTGATGTCTCCACTGTCATATAGACTGCTTAGGAGCAATGGCTGTGAGTTATTTTTCCTAGCATTAACGCTTGCCACAAGTAGGTGCTCAATTAAACTTTGTTGCATTCATGAGCGGTCGGGATGTTTCATGAGCATAAGATGCTTCCATATTTTACTCGGGCGATGCTTTTAATTAAACATGTGGATATGAGTATAGGGAAAACTCAGTTATCTTGGTGGTGGCTCGAATACATAGGCACTGCTATCCCAGAGTACCATCTCATGATCTAAGAGACGTTTGTTTACAAAACAAATCTACAAGGTATCGATTTGAACTGGAGATTCTACATTAGTCAAGAATCCATGCAGAATGTAGACATTTAAGGGCCACCGGGGGTAAGGGCTGAGTCCCTGGGTGGTGTAGATGATTAACATGTTCAGCTGTAAACTGAAAGGTTGGCAGTTTAAGTCTACACAGAGGTATCTCAGAGGGTATCTGGTGAGAAAACTTCTGAGAAGTCAGTCAATTAAAACCTAAGGAGTACAATTGACCCTGATACACTTGAGGTGGCCATGAATCAGAGTAGATTCAACTGCAACTTGTGGGGGTAAAGGGTTAGGGCCATTGACATAAAGAAAAATGAGTCATTTCAGTGAATATGAAGATAACCTTGTTTCAATCATATTGAAAGAGCTCTGTGATAAAAAAAAAATTCCACAGATGGTTAATTGCTATCACCAGGGGTTCAGTAAGCTTTTGCTGAAAGAGACCTCTCTCTTTTGAGGTGCAGTTCTGCCAAGGCACATTCTCCTTAGTCCTCCATGTCTCCTGGATCCTTGGCCATCAGATGTCCCAGAAAGGCAGAAGTGAGACTGTGGTGACTCTTAAACAGGTGGAAGCTGGAGGACAACGCTATTGTGGAGTAGACATGGACCTCAGCGTGTGCGTTGCTGGCCAGGACCCGCAGACAAAATATCTGCTGCATAAAAGCGTCCCGCTAAGGTTACTGGGTTGACCTAGGCAGGACCCAATGACCTGTCACTGAGAGCAGTAGACGTTGTGTTGCTCTTCTAAGAGTGGATGACAGCAAAGTTTTCTGGGTCTCACAGCCTGGTGAATTCAGCTTCCTTGCACTGAATAAGAAGTTTTTGTTTGTTTTTTTTAAAACTTAGGAGATAGCACACCAGCTCACCAGTTTCGGTTACTCAGAATCTGTTGGGTCCTGAAATCAATAGGTGGAAGAGTGATTGGCAGCTCGGGTGCTGGTAGAGGTTAGGGGTCTTCCAGAGGCCCTCCCAGTTGCGACGATTGGTGGAGGCCGTGACTGGAAGCCTGGCTTCTCCAGGTATTGCTGCTAAATTTCAGACACGGCCTTAATGGCCAAGCATTCCTTCCTTCAGACGATGTAGACTCATTTGGCAGGGATGAAGCCTGTGGGAAAGAAAGCATAAGGTCACACACATCCAGGTTAATTTTAGGCTCGGTTTGATTTTCTGTGTTCCCACCGTATTTAGGAGGCCCGGGTTTCACCTTCATGGCTATTTACTCACTGGGAGGAGTCAGAGGGGAGGAGTGCTAAAGCTCTTTCTACCTTAGGGCCGCCAGGGGTTTCTGGACCGCGGGCAGCCACAAGAAAGCACAGCACGCTGGTTGTTGGTTGCTGAGACCGAGTCTCTTTCAGGGAGGGCTTTAAGGTTCATGGTAATGCGTCAAGATTTTATTTTCATCAGCAGTGGATAGGACTGTTGAAAACACTATTTATAAAAAATAAAATTAGCAGTGACCTAAGACAGGAATAGAATAAAGTTGAGTCTGAGGATCGATTTCAATGACCGTTCAAACCGTGTAGTGTCTACTAGATGAGAGGCTAGCGCCACATGAAAACCCCCCCACTTGGTGCCGTCGAATCAGCTCTGACCCATAGCGACCCACCGGATAGAGACCTGCCCCGTGGGTTTCCGAGATGGAAGTTCTAAGGGAGTAGACGTGGTCAGCCCACCATGGAGCTCCCTAAGGTACCAGGGTGCCTGGAGTCCAATTAGAGGAATCAAAATGGAAAGTGAATTGGGGTTTGTCACGAGCTCAAGAAGAAGGATGGGTCAACATTTATTTTCAGTGTCATGATAGCTCCATTTACTGTATGGTTCTTGTAAATGGCACAGAGACTTCAACTTAGTCTCTAATTCAATCTCATTTATTCCCTATAATGATTCTCTGAGATGAAAATCATTATCGTGTTTATTTCACTGGTAAGGAAATAGATGAGAGATGTTTGAAATCCGCTCAAAGTCATACTAGTGAACCACAGAGTCAGGATCAAAACTCATTCTCTTCCATTTGATAGGGCCATTAAACCCCAGAGATGGGATGGGGGTCTGTTCTTTTGGGTCATAGAAATATGAGAAGAGATCAGTTTTAGATACTGGGCCTTTGACATGATCCTGACACTTGTCATTGGAAAGACTGGCGTTATATCTCCAGTACCCTGGAGCTTGATCCAATAATTGGCTAGTTTTTCAAAATGATGTATTGATTGCAATGCAGTCCTGCCAGTCATGTGGAATAGCACTTCTTTCAGTGAGGATAGAAAAAACCCGAATCCCTGGTCTGGAGTTGTGACCAAAGGCCATTTTTTGTTTACTAAGAACAATATCTAGTCATCTAGGGCATCATTGTAAATAAGACTGGCCTTTGGGGTTGTAAATCTTGTGATTAAAGTGGATTGTCTGATCCAAAGGAAGATGAGCAAGGAGTCCTGGTAATGCAGCAGTTAAGCGCTCAGCTGTTTAACGTGGAAATCCAAACCCACTAACCACCAGCAGGGGGAAGATGAGTCAGGCTGCTTCCATAAAGATTTCTGCTTTGGAAACCCTAGGGGGCAATTCCGTTTGGGCCAATGTGAGTTAGAATGGACTAGGTTGGTAATGGGCTTGGTTTGGGGGTCTTCTAAACTCCCCACAAAGGCTGTAGAAAAACAAACCAGGGTTTCTTCTTCTTTTCTACCTGGTCCAATCACAGAGCCTATAGGAGCTGTGCAGGCTGGAACCAGCACAGATTCGTTCAGCAATGAAGACGACAACAAGGCCGCAGCAGAGGGAGCCGGGTAGAACTGAAACGTCCAGCGCAGGAAAAGTGAGTAGTTTGTAAAGGAGAACAAACTGCTTCCAATGTGAAAAGAAAACAATCGAAAGCAAACGAACTCACAGAAAATGGCAAAACTTCAACAGAATTTTAAAAATGGAAAACCATTAAACATCTATGAAACAGTATGGTAGTCTTCTATAGGTTTTTATGTGCTTTTTGTACTTAATCACTAGGAAATTTTTTGTCTGCCTTTTCTTTTGTTGCTTTTACCTTTTGGGGTAGTTTTGGGGTGCTGACCAGAAACCAAGTACGCCACAACAACAACAACACCAATGCAGCCACACGACATCATGTGGCTGGTAAATGTGTTCGGCATATTTTCACAAAGAAAAGATCTGAAGGCAACATTCTTGAATCGGGACTGCTAATGTTCAGAATATGTGTTTGATTTTATTACTCTGGCTCTTTCTCTGGAGGCTTTTGGATAATTCATGGTAAAACGATGGTGAAGTCATGTCATTCTATTTTGATATTACCAGTGTTTCGCTTGCTACTGAATTCTGAATTGTTTCAAGTTTTCAATTTTTTTATTTGCTTAAGAAAATCAGAGCTGAGTCTGGACATCACTTGAAAGGCTGGCTGTAGTTATTTAAGGCCACAAGCTATCTGCAAGTAAGCAGAGCACAGGCATTCCACCTTTTATTCCAGACGGCTGGCAGACTGAAACCCTTTTGTCTGTTGAAGCAAGGCCCTGGGAGCAGCGTTTGGCACAGCTCATTAATAAAATTCTACACAGTCACCTAAATGTACTTCTGACCTCTTGCACAAGCCTTTTTCTGAAGAATTTAGTTTCTATAAGAATACTGATGAATAACAGTTATACCTGAGAGTTATTGAGGGTATACCAGTAATCGAGAGCCGTAATGCAAACACAATAAAGCAGAAACTAGAAAACATCAGATAAACAATAAAGCAAATATAATTTTAGTAGCTCTATACTATTAATAAATTCATGTATTAAGGAATTAACATTGGAACACTATATTAAAGCTTCCTATAAAATAGACATGATATTGAAAGACTTACAGCAGTCATTACTGATAGGAAGAACTTGTATGGAAATTCTAAATAAGCTCCTTTTATTATACTTCCTAATTATAGATTATATATATTTGTATAAAGATTTACATGAATCTTTCTAATTAGAAAAATATATTTAATGTTTTTCTCTTATTATCTCTTTCTATTGATTATTAAATTACTTACCTCCAGATCATAAAAATTTATGGCCATCCATATGATTAGAATGTAGTGAGGTCAAGTCTGACATTACACTTTCTGTACTCTGGAAAAATGTGTGCAGACATTTGAGACTATGAACCCAGTGATAAACTTAGAACTTTTCAGAAGGGATGTCCTTTTAAGGACCAGACGTTGTCAGAATGTAGGGGTATTATTTTCTAAGGTGAAATTAGTATGAACTCAGAAAACAGTTCCTTGATTGCTTCGTACTTCAATCATTATTATCATCATGAATGTTTTGTTTATGTTTCACTTGGCTGGCAGAATCTGTTCCGTCACAGGGAATTTGGCCATGAGTTTTGACTCCACAATAGAAACATGTACAAAGCACTGTGAGTGGACATTGAAAAATCTCACATGCTATATATCATAACAAGTACAGAAGGTGCAACATATTATATTGTATAGATATTAAAGCAGTGCACAATTAGATGATCTTGCTATGTATATGGGTTAATGAAATGAAAACCATGCTAAATTTGTTTAGTTGGGCCTTTGGTAGTTTGTGCTTTTAAAAGTTTTCTTTTTGAAAAAAATAACAGTGCTACCTAATGAAATCTGTCCCCTTTTATGTACAATACACACCACACACGCACACACACACACACACACACACACTCACACACAGATTCAAAGTCAATGGCAGTGGGTGGTTTATGTCAGGGCCGGGTTGGACGCCCCTCTCCCAGAATAAGATAAATGTAAGTGGCGAAGAGCTCCTGGGGCCGGCTGAACTCATTTTGTATTCCACACTGCCTGGCCCCCTTCTCATCTCTTTCTCCCTCTCTTTGTGTGTTCAAGCCTACTTGAGTTTCTTTTCTCTTTTGTAGAACTTGATTCTTTGATGTGTTTCAGGGCACGCCCTGCAGCAAAGACAACTTCCCAGGAATGGGAAACATAGCACACAGGTCTGAAGCACTTACTGTACAATAACAGAAAGCTTCAGACCTACGAGTTGATTTTTTCTCTCTCTCCCCAAAGCATCAAAACATGTAGGGAGGAGACCCATACAACACTTGAATATATTAGGTAGATTATTTTAAAGTGAGGTAAACTGTAACATTTAATGCAAAGTAGGTATTTGATGAGGATTTTTTAACCTGGGATGAATTTATGGTAGTAATTTAACCTGAGGTGTGTCTTCATGCATCTATATATTCCTTTGCTTAATCATATCTCACCTATAAGTATGAATGAATGATTGTTCCTATTTTACTATTTCTATGGCACTATAGCTATGAGATGGTTAATAGACAGGATCCTTAGGGATCCTATTCTGATAGTTTCCATTGAAAATATTGTGAGGAAGTGCATTGCTTTAACTTTCTATTTACACTTCTATAAAGCGGAAAGGAATGTTGCTCTAAACACCGTAAAGTTAGTGTTAGAAGACACTATATTATTAATAGAAAGTCTAGATTGAAGATGTTAACTACTTTATGCCCAACATTAGCATTTCTATTTGTGTAAATTAAAAAAATTTAATAAGAGTGTGTTATATTTCTATTTAAAATATCTTTGTTTACTCACATAGTATACTTTATAAGACAAATCTTTCAGGACTAGGTCACTGAATTAGGACTTGGAACTGAAAATTGAAAAACAAATAGAAAATAAGTGAAAACAACGCCTGTTTACACATATGCAAACTCACTTTTTACATGAGAAGACTCCAACGAAAAAGAAGCGCCAGGGACAGTATAGTCTCCTTCTTCACCACTGCCCGCAGTCTCTGGGAGACTTCTTATTTGTAAAGCCCAAGCGGTTGGAAAAGCAAACGGAACTACCAATTTGGTAATCATCTGCTTTGTTTGAGCAATTCAGAAAATCAGTTTGTAGAAAGTAGGTGTGTTTTTCCCTCTTGTGCAAAGAATAGAGTTCACTCTCATGCGTGTTGTTTGGGAAGCTTACTGAAAAATAGTCCGGTATTAGAGGAATAATAGATGTGTAGCAGTACACAATCATTTTCAATGACATTTGATCCAGTTCTGTAGTTCACCAAATGTAGTGAGCAAAAATTACATATTTGCACAAACAACATTATC